GTTCCCTTTGAATTTTGCAGAAGACTGGTATGCAAAGGACTCTCTCTCTCTCTCTACCTCTTCCTCTTATATACAGCAGTATATGTACATATATATCATCATATTGGGATTGCAATCTTTTTGACTGGTAGTGTATAAACAGCGGCATTCTAAGTGTTCCCCTTGAATTTTGCAGAAGTCTTGTTTTTGAACTAAGGGCAAGCCAACTCCGCAAGGTAGTATCGGCAGAAATGACCTTGGACAAGCTTCAGTAGCGGCGCACCATCGCACAGTCTCACATTTTTCATTGTATAGACCGCTCTCAGGTCTGACAGGAGGCATTCTAAGTGTTCCCTTTGAATTGTGGAGAAGACTTGCTTTTTGATGGAAATAATTGCAAAACCAACTCTGACAGGAGGACAGTTTTTTCCTGGCAACTCTTGTCATGTGCATTTCTGTATAACTATATATATTGCTGACTTCCTGTCCTTGAATCCTTGGGGCAATTATGTCTTTGGAAGGCGGGCTTTCTTTTTGTACAGTCTCTCTCTCTATATTCATATCGCCCTGCCACGTTTTGTTGGCGCCCCGGAGGATACTTCAATCCTTCCTTCATAATCACCACCTCCAATCGAAGAACCACCCACCCAAGCGAGAATTGAGAGTATATAAAGCTATATACTGCTCTTGTATTCAAACTGCTCTTTTGCACTGGTATTGTAACTGCTCTTTTGCACGGCCCCTCCTCTTTTGGTTGGTATTTTAATACGTGAAATGTGAGATTCCTCATTCTAACGGTCATCTAACCAATGTATATGAACCTTGCTTGCTCCTCCGTGCGCCAGAGAATTCATATTTTTGACATTGTTTAGCGGCTTCTCCGAAGCGCAGAATGGGTCCGAGTGGCTTCAAAGAAGCCTTGCAGCTTGGCATTGGTTGTATGCTGAGCAGCTTGTGGTGACAGACGGACTTGAGGTGCTCGGCGGGAAAACAGGAAGCATTCTAAGCAGTAGCGCTTATTTGCGCGGATTTTTGCCCCTTTGGGGGGGTTCTGCTTGCCATTTGTGGCTACATTATCGGCAAGTTGTGCTTGGATGCTCTGGAAGCATTCTAAGTGAGCCCCCAAAACGTTAAAAACCCCCCCATTCTAAGTGGTGTGAAAAAAATGTTGGGTGCAAGAGAGGCATTCTAAGTTACAGTCCGGCGCTATAGTCTAAAACACAGTTGCGACTAATATGCAAAAGCCGCGCGAAAGACCCTGACTGACTGTAGAACCTTTCTCATCCATTCTTGCACTGGCATTTCCCAATGTTGAAAGTGAAACTGTGTATTTTTCCCGGAACTGAAGAAGTGTGGAAGGTCTCGCGAAAGTCCAGATGCATAGAGAGACAAGATGAGAGAGCATGTTGCGAAACATCAGTCAGATTTGGAAAGGCAACGTGATCCATGGGGGGATTTTGAAGCCGCTCATTGGGTGAAGCCAGAATATTGGCAAGTACGGAGGCGTTTGGGGGGCGATGCGGTCCAGGTAGAACGGACTTTGAGGTACGATGCTTGGACCGTGTACCTGTCATGGAAAACTTTTTCATGTCCGAGTGAGATGACTTCTGCAGTGTTCTGTACACTTTGAAGGTGCTGGGACCAGTTCCCGTTGGGATGAGCTACAGTAGTTCGTAGGAGAGACGGAGAGAGACGGAGAGACTTGAGGATTCCGACTTCAGCCGGACAAATACAATGAAAAGCAGACGTGCTCCTAGTAGCAAACATTGCTCCTAGTAGTAAGGCCAGGAGCCCCTAGTAGCGTCCTTGCTCCTAGTAGCGATGCCAGGGGCCCCTAGTAGCTTCTTATTCCTAATAGCAAA